TACCAAAATTAACTTGAGAAAATGACCGATGTATAATTTTTATCTCTGAGGGTAGACAGTAACTGTTGACAATCTTGCGTCTAGAAAATCAGTCAATTTATGTCAGTTGTAGTTCCATAAGTTCCATTAGTTGTAGTTCGATGAATGTCAATTTCAATTATCTGCGAGTGAGCTTTAAGTTTACGAGTCCGGGATGGGCTCAATTTTTTTCTCTACTCACTATGTACTTACGTGCATGAAGCATGCTCACTGCTTGTAAATTTCTAAAAATAGGCTAGAAAATCAGTATGTTTTATGTTTCCTACACAGTTAATTACAAACTGATGTTCATTCGTTACATGTATACATTTTTCAAAGGAATCAAATCAATACCCTACTGAACCTCTTTATAATAGTGCTGAGCGTCTAAGAACGTGGCTTACACTTACGGAGTTTGCATGCACCTTTCCTAATTAAAATATTTAACTTAAAAAAAGCCTCTTTTCACAATTTTTTTTGTCAAAATTTAAGGCTCTGTTTACGGATAATTTTTCAGGGCCTCTACAGGAACACCCTGTTAATATTTTTCTCATCCGATTACTTTTGGAATCCTATCGGGACAGCGTTGTTCATGGTTTTTTTTTTTTTTTTTTTTTTTTTTTTTTTTTTTTTTTTTCAACAACATTCTGGACGATTCTCTATGTCGCAATCTGAATTACGCTTCAAGTGCATACAAATATAAAGTATATCACGCAATTCGAAATGATATTTTGCGTACGATTTCACAATAAACGAATAACAGTAACATGACCTCAGAAATGGGAAAGGATCAAGAAAAATATGGATCTGAAAATCATTGAAATTCAGGAGGAAAACTACGAAGTTTGTTGACGATTCGCTAATTAGCATAGTAATTGTGGTTGAACAATCGATTGTAGCCGCCGGCAAAATTTTCATTCAAACATTCGGCTCGTTTGCCCAAGTTTACGAGGCGCACTTGTTTCACAGTCGCTGTGCAAGCACTCAGGGGTTTCAGTGTTTGCCGAAGCCCACGCGGTAATCAGCCAAAGAGGAAAACTCCCGAAATTATTTCGAGAAAATAGTTGGCTATCTAGAAATCTTACGCAACGAAAATTTCTGAGGACAATTGGTTAATTTTTTGTGAAAAATCCGATCAACCTCGGTCTATTCACATGATGAGCTCAGCCGAAATGAAAACCAGACTTTTTAAATTTTAAATCAGTCCCCAAATTACAGTTGTGTGAAAAGTCGTTTTTCCAGTGAAGTTGCGTGTAGTGTTGTGCGCTGGTGGTGTTTTTGGAATTTGACCGGAGTATTTATAATAAACAACTGCATAATCCATGCAATCTTCACCGGTAAGTTTTTATCATCCACTCCTAATGAATTATACAGATTATTATCATCAACTGTTATCGAACTATATTATATGTTACCATTCTTCGGTGCGAGGAGGAAAGAGGGGAGATAACATGGCTGTTCTAATGGAGTAAATAATTTCGGTAAGCTTGTAGGTCCTTCGGAGGAATAAAAATTTTAATAGATCATTTTTAACATTTAAATCTATACTATGAATAATAATCGATTCAGGTAATCTGCCTCGACCAGATATCAGCATTGTTTTTCATGCATTTAAACGAATGGAACCTAATACCCAATTTGCAAGAATGGCTGCGTGGTTCTAAATTCTTTCGTCTTACATGGATTCGTAGATATAATTTTCCTCATATGCAACCTAAATGCAAATTATGAACAAGGTTGCGCTACGCACAACTGCTGCAACTGCAAAAGAGGGTCATGCTATCATATGCTAAAGAAAAACGCCGTATGAACATTAGAGAGTTGCCAAATTTCCTTCGATAAAATGTTTATTTTTTCGTAAAGCTATAAATATTTGTCCTTGAAATTTCCAGAAACTTTGAGTGAAATTGCGAAAAATATTATATGAAAAAGTGGAAGAAAGAGTTTTACGAATTTTCTCGAGAATCCGTGATTTACTAAAGGAAATTTGGCAACGTCTGAAGGCTCATACGGCGTTTTTCTTTAGAACGGCAGCATGACGCTTCCATTTTTTGCCTATGCAATATACAGACACCCATAGAGCAGCAATAAAAGTTGCTTGCAGGCAGCGCGCCTTCATTTTTTTGTACATGCAACACAGACATCTGCAGAGTACGAATAATTGCCACCGCAGGTGTTGTCATCGTTTGCACTCTCGAACGTATTCCTCTAATAAAACACGTAAACGCACGTGCTACTATGTTCAGTTAAATCCTCTTCTTCTTTCTTTTTTCTTTACCTCTTACATGAATTAGGTATACTCTACGTGAAATCCGCTTACTGTCACAATTACTTTCACCCCCGAAACCTGCATTCGCTCAGACCGCCATTTAAATGTTCCACTGCATTTAGATGATTAAATTTTAATGCCCCATATCTGTTTTGCATCAATAACAACTTACAGAAGTTATTTTCAACCTCCCATCTCGCGCGCCAGGAGACGATAGATACTTGGAACCTTATGATTTTCCTTGTAGTATATCATATTATGTCCAGCATCCCTTATGACCAAGATTTTGGTGTTGAAAAAAACGCATGTGTTTAGCATGGTTTCAAACTTTTTCATATGTTTCAATTGTAAAAATGAGACCCGTTTGAGACGAAATTTTGGCGGGCGCTGATAACGCAGCTAAGCGGGAGAAATGTCGTTTGCTAATATCGCCTTATACAACGTAAATTAGACTGTTATCTATTTTTTTAGTGAATAGCCTATTCATTCCGTACCCTATAACTTGTATAATCAAGCTTTTGGCAAAGAACGCAGAAGTTCTGGATGTATCTTTTGAGTGTGGAAGGGGCGGAGAGAGGCTGAGTGAAATAACGACACGCTCTTTCGCTGCATGATAAACGTATTAGACGAGACACCAACACAAATACAGGGATGGAGGGTGATATTTTGAATGAGATCACTGCAAGGACTTATATAAAATGGTCCAAAACTCGGGTCACAACATTCAGGGTTGTCACATGCGTGAGATTGTTCGACCGATTTTGGGGTATAAAATCAATTTTTCCGTGCCAGGCTGCAAATTGAAAATTAAAGTGCTCCGATTGTAGTCAACAGTCATATAAAAAACCGTCAAAGAATTTTTTAATTAGGATGAAATGAATTAAAAACGTGTAATTTCTAGCTCAAAGGTTTGTTTTTACTTTAAAAGAAGTTTTTCGATTTAAATTAGAAATTTAATTCATTTAGAGGATTATTCTTTCTCAAAATAAGGTTTCTTTTAATGCAAATACAAGTAAATTGTTTTAAAAGATTTACAAAATACAAGCACATGAAATGTATTTGCCTTTAAAGCATCAATAATCATTCAGGTATCAGAGGAGTATTTAAGGGGCCGTTAATCAAATACGTAACGCTAAATTTCGGTTTTTTTACTCCCCCCGTCATGCTTCCCTTGGCGTAAATTTCTATCGTGTGACATGTAATAACGATCTCCTCGCCCAACCCCCTTCAGAGCGTCACATATTTTTTGGACGACCCCTTAGTATGTAGATAATTATATTCGTATTTGTGCATTAAAGATTCGATTAAGGATTTCGATCAGCTTTTCCTTCTAAATGATTTTTTAACTTGGTTCTTTCACAAAAGGAGGGGTATCGATAAGGGCCGTTTTTGCACCCACCCTGAATTTCTTAAATTCTACAATTTTTTTTTAAATGGAAGATTTACAAAATGCATATGATTTGGTCATATTCGATCTCTTTTCGGGTTTAACACCAGCTAATGTGGGGCTGAGGGCCGATTTTGGCGAATAAAGCGAATTTTAGGGGTTAGCAGCTGAATACCAAAAAACCCGCATTTGTCACCAAAGACCCATGTTTAGGCCAGTATTAGACCTGAAATGACCAAACCAAAATGCATTTCGTAAAGTATAAAGTATGTCTCCTTCAACGAACAAAAAATTGTAGAGTTGAGGAAATATAGCAAGGGTATGCCAAAAAACAGTCCTTATCGATTACCCTCCTTTTACAAAAGAATAACTACTCTAAAATCCAGCAACTATGCCTCGCTGCCGCCCCATTCCACTTTGCAAGAGTGGAGTTCACTCCACTAAGAGAGTAGTTACTGCTTTGCACCCATATCACTCCAGGAATTTGGGGGCCAAAAACGCTCCGCTCCGGAATGAAATAAGCCCCGGATTTCATTCACTCCAAAATTTTTATTACAGCACCGACCTCTATGTATTTTTTATGACTGACACACGCTTCTCACCAGTGGAACATTGGATTTTATTCGTGTGTCATCTTCCAACGAAAAAGAAAAGAAAAAAACCAGAGAAGTGGCTATCTAGGATAGGGGACTCCGCCAAGAGAGTAGATACTACTTTGCATCCATATCACTCCAGGAATTTGGGGGCCAAAAACGCTCCACTCCGGAATGAAATAAGCCCCGGATTTCATTCACTCCAAAATGTTTATTAGAGCACCGACCTCTATGTCTTTTTTATGACTGACACACACTTCTCGCCAGAGGAACATTGGATTTTATTCGTGTGTCATCTTTCAACGAAAAGGAAAAAACCAGAGAAGTGGCCATTTAGGAAAGGGGCAACTTCTGTCGAGGGCTGGAAGCGCAGTAAAAACGAAGGGAACTCGATATGGAGCGAGGGACAAAAACAAAAGGGGGAAAAATCGGAATGAATTAATGATTAAACTCGGTGGGACTGGTGGGTTCGGTCGCGAATGCAGGGAAGCACTGGGTCCCGGGCTGAAGTAACATTTCAGACGGGACAGGAGCAGGAGCGGACCAACGCCAGGAACGGGAACACGACCGTAGGAGCCGGGGCGCACTCGAATAAATTACTCTCCCCTCCGAAGATCGCGGAGAGCCAATCGGAGACGAGTTGTGCGGCCATCTTGTTCGGCCGCGAACTCGTCGCGCCTGCCGCGCTCCCTGGCGGCCGCCCCGCGAAGCTCGGCCAAAAGGCCTCCGAACGACGAGAACCGCGCGCGGCGTGAGGAATATTGTCCGGATAATCCTTCCTTTCAATCAATTAGACGGATTTTCCATTCGACAAATTGCCCGAAAATTATCCTTTTGGGCAGTCGCCTCGTTCGCGGTCCAGGCTCGGTTGTGATTCGCGATGTTCGTCTCTGTTCGCGTCCAGTTGTGTCCGAGGTGTCCAGTTTTTTGATGCCCCCCGGCTCCAGTTGAGGATTAACTGTCCCAAGTGCTCCATAAATTATGTCCCCCCGCGCGGTGAATTTCATCTCGAAAAATTGATCGACTCCCGGTTTGTTTTCGCTTTTTATTTTGCGCGGCGGTGTCCTCGGTTTCGATTTTCGAATTGGTGACTCCTTGTTCAGTGATAAGGGTTCGAGATCGATTCGTTTGTTTATGGACGATTTCTGTGATTTTGGTGCTTTTTCATTCATGACGGATTAGTTGTTTTTTTGCGAATTTGTTGTTTGTCCCGTGAAGTGAGAATTACCCAACAGTTTAGTTCCAGTCGCCAGCAGTTTGTTTTTGGAGGTCAACGACACGTACTCTTATCAGGAACCCACGTTACTTGCCCCAGTTTTTGCACGGTATGTTCTACATCTATTATTTTTTGGTGACTTTCATACTTTATACTTTATACATTCTCGTGGGAACGGTCCTAAAACGCATACCGATTTTCTAACGATTAAGAATCTTAAACTTTCACAGTGCCTTTGATAAGATTCGCCATGCATCGAACCAAGTCCTCGCAAAACTGAAACTTAAATTCCTAAAAATAATATATGGCATTCGCTCCGCACCCCCTTCCTCATCACTTATTGTGAGGAGGCTATATGTTATCGCATACTGTAAGCCCTCGTGACGAAAATTCGATAGCTTGAGCTTAATTTCGACAGTGACCGATAGGTACCTTTCACTAAAACTTGCCAGTCAAATTAATTTCAGACAGTACATCAAACTGAAAATTTGCGTGGCTAGCTATAATAGCTTACGAAAAAGAGTAGAGACCTACAGGCGCGCCTGTCTTTATGACGTCAACAGGACCCAATAATTGCTATTCCTTATTGTGATTTATTGGAAATGCTGCAGGTATACAATAGGTGTATACGTTCATATTAATGTATAACTGGTAATGTATAACGTATAACTGGTGCATCAAACTGATTGAGTGATCATGTAATTTTTAAACAAATGATTTTACACAACTGAGCTCGAAAAGTTCAAATTAGCTGCCAAATAAGTGTTCCAGCTTGAAAAGTGATAATGCACGTTGATATACAGCACTCCATTAGGAGTAAGTCTGGTACCCTCCTTTTTAAGAATATAAGTTATTCAAATTCGCACGAAACAAAACGACTAAATAATAACTTATAGGTGAATTAGTGTATGAGAGGAGAGTGGGCATATATGTTTTTCTTTAAGGTATTTCTTAATTAAAAATTAATATTGAGAGAAACATAAAAATAAAATAAAATAATCAATAAAGAAATAAGTAAAGCAATTAAAAAATACAACTTAATTTTCGAATTTTTAGGATCATGCGAGAACCCACGCGGATATTATCTTGTTAACAAAAAAAACTAGTTTTGTAGTGTTCATTTCTTTTTTCAAATGTTTTGGCACAACAGTAGGGGTTTTTGATATGTTTGATTCTTTTATCGAGTCATCAAAAGAAAGCAATGTGTCTTAAATTCAACTGCATATCTTTAAAATTTTAGAAACACAGCTGCAAATATTAAAAGTATATTCACTAGAATGCAAGTTTAATTTTTAATACGTAGAATTAATGTCGCTTACCTGCGAGTGTCAACTTATAGGCAGTCTAAGTTTCCATGAAACAAATTCATATTAAAACATGGAAACCTCGTTCGATTAGGCGGTGGTGTGTTTCCGAGCAGAGTTTTTAGGCATAAAATGACAGCGTTTCAAGGCGGAATTTTTTTGGGAGCAATGAGAGAAAAGTTTCCGGAAACAATAATAAACCACAAACGAGAACATGATTAGTTTGAGTTATGGATTTTGTCGCTTTCTTCGCTGGCCCAAAGAAGCGATTCTCCTTCGATGAAACAATCAACACTCGCAAATAAGGTAAAAACCAATGTAAAAAAAAAAGCTTGGAAATATAAATATTATTTATTTAAAATTTTTGAAAAATAGGAGACATATTATAACAATTGAAATATTTTGTATCATTGACAGTAGGTAACCATAATAAAGTTAAAAATAAATCAACCAGATCCTTTTTTACCTTCCTTTAAAGTTTTAAGGATGTTGTATTCAGCAACAGAAGAAGAAAAAAAAATTCAAACCAGCGCTGCGTCAGCCTATAAATTATTAAAAACACCATACAAACCCCGTTTAGCCTTTTAAGGCAAAACTTCAAAAAAAATGTGAAACAATGTCCATAAATGTATCAGAATTTACTAAAATTCCCTTCAAAAGATAATATAAATATGCAAGGCAGCAGTTACCCCTTCCTTCTCCTCCACCCCCATAAATACCTCTCACATCTATGAATTTAGTTCTTGGTATGTCCGACCGGTAATTACTTTAGTAGAAAAGTTTCAAGCGTTGTTCCGGGATGAAAAAAAATTAAGATCATTACATGTTAAAAATTATCTAAAAATCGGAACTTGATCATGGAATTTTTAAATTTTCCCGACGAAACGTGCAATGAGAACTATTTTGTTTAAAATTTTCTTGAAGCTCTCAATCAAATCAAGACTTCTCAAATCAGGACCTGAGTTAGAAAGTTCAACGGCTTTTCAATTATTAAAATGTTGATTTACCTTAAATCATCCAAATAGTAGGTAGGAAACACTTTTTTCAGACGAAAATTCATAAGGCTTCTTCCTTTGCAATAAGTGAACATTGAAAAAAGCAAGGACTCTTGAGTTCGATACTTTTTGTCGTTTATGTAGGATTCGTAAAACCATTAAATCATTTTTGTTGCTCTTCAATACTGCCCATATAATTAACCCAAATTAATGTGATTATTATCAGCACCAAGGTAACATATAGAAAAGCAACGTAGTAAGCAACGTAGGAAATTCATTTTTCAAAATTCCAAGTTTGGAAAGAAAAAACAAATCTAATTTTAATTTTAAAGCATCCATCTTTTTATCAATTTTGATCAGAGACGGGATGATATTAAGTTTAAGAAAAGAAACCGTCTGCAATCAAATTGGATTTATTAAATTCACAACGTAAATTGCTTTATTGCTCATTTTTTTGTACGTGGATCATAAATAATAAAAGCGTGGAACCACTTAAAAAAAAAATGTTTTTCCGAACAACAGAAAAACACCGTTACCAAAGCTAAAACTAAAATGCGTCACATTAATTGCATTGCTCTTCCTTCATTTTCGATAGTAAAACCGACTTTAGGTAAAAAATTTGGCGCACCAAAACCGGATAATTAACTAAGAATCTAAATGAATTTACGTTAGATGACAAACAATGTTGCGTTTCAGCTCATATTTCCAGCATGTTTTAAAATGTGCGAACGAAAACTAGAATCTAAAAACTCATTACGATTATAATTGCAGGGAATAAAATTGTATTTTTAAAAGCAGTAGGTGCTTGTGCATTCATTTAATTTTGACAATTACCTTAAATACGTAGCGCAGTTCGTACATTTTTGACGTGATGTTTAAGGCCGTAAATAAAAATTAGGGCAAAAAGTAATTTGAACTTGGAGTGATTTATGTAATGAGAAGTATTATTTTAGCGTTCAAATTTGAGAGACGAATTCAAAAGCGGGTGAAATGCACCACTTTACGCGGAAATATACTTAATATTTCCTAGTTTCACGCCTAAGAAAGTGCAAGCAAAGTATAAGATACTTCATTTCATGTTATTAAGAAGCAATCTGAAATCTTATTTTTGACAAATCTTTATTTCGAAAATCTTGCATACAAAGCTCGCACAGAGGTACATTTTTCACTCAAATTGTGGGGAAAAGGAAATCATAAAAAGGCAAAAAGTGTTTAAACACCTCCGGCAAATTATCGTAGTAAATTATTTCCGTGTATGAAAAACCCATAAAATACAAACTAACCATTTCTTGTGGTCACGCAATCTTTCCGGCTTTCCGATTTTATTTTAAATATTTTTTTTCCTGTAATTAATTTTCTTTTGCGGATACTTTTTAATTTTATTCCCAGCAATTTGTTGAATAACATTTAAATTATAAATTATCAGTACATGAAATCGGATAAGTAAATCATCGATTAATTTTCTGATAGCTCTTCTGCTCATGGAAATGTCTCAAAACTTCTTGTGCATGGACATAATATGTTTCCTTCTTCTGTCTCAAATGTATTAATTAATCTTTTAATTTTTTTAAATTTTTTTTTTTCAGTTTGTATTATTATGATAGGAATTTAAATGATATGCATTGATCTGTACGCCAAATAAAGTCATTTAAATCTTAAAACCAGTGCTCTTCGTTACGCTCAAGCATTCTTCGTTAGCTCTCAGAAGCGTAATATTTCTTGCGTTGCAACTGCGGAGGAATATCGGCGCTGATATTTATTAGTTCGGATTTTCAAGATTTACTAATGCATGACAGTTTTCCATCTAAATCTAGTCACGTCCCTTGTTTCATAATCAATCTCGAGTCACAATTGATGTTTGAAAAATTACCATTGTTCACTGCAATTACTCATGTACCTACTTGAGTAAATAACTCATTTATTTATAATATCCAACGTAAGAGAAATGAACAGCAGAATGTTTGAAATGCATCATATTTTCATTTAAACTTAACCTACAGACGAATATAGCCAACTGCATTTTCGTGAGTAGTTTATATGAACTTCATTGCTTTCAGTATTAGAGTCACCATAATTGAGCATGAATGAAACATCCTTAAAATCATAGGATGAAAGAACCTCAGTCATTAAACTGAGGGTTTTGATGTTTGAGCTCAAGCATGTTTTAGACCTGAACTAAAATCAGTTCACCATTTTTCCGCTATGAACACTCCAGAAGATATGCTGAACCCTTAACTGAGCTTAGAAGTGAGTTTTTGGAGTGAGAGCCAAGAGGAAGAGCTCATTTCAAAACAACTAAAAAATAAGTTGCTATCCCTCCTCCTTTTTGATCTCGTCTCGTTCTGATTTTTTTTATCTCCAGAGAGGGTTGAAGGCCTTTCAGGTATTTCGAGAAAAGAGAAAAGAATAAATACTCCAGAAAATAAAATGAAGGAAATGGTGAGGGCTCTCAGTTACCCTCGCCCCTTCTTCTCAATCATTTGTGTTGGATGATAGAAGATGGCTGTAAAACATACAGGCCTCTTAGAATTTTTATCGTAGGAACCTTTTCAAATCTACTGAAAACTATTAGAAGGTGACTTATAACTGTTTTTTTTTTTCTTTCTTTTTTTCTTTTTTTCTCTTCTTAAATTTAATTATTCCGATTCCTATCCAAATGGATTCGAAAAAAGATACAAGGAGCTGGTCAGAATTGCATTGTAATTTAGGTCGATTCGTTGAGATCAATCTTTAAGCAAATATATCCTAATGGAATTATAATGCAAAGATTTCAACAAAGGCAAGCCAATAGAATGTGTGAGCAAACTCAT